ACTGCTTTGGGCAATATAGGTATATACTAAGTTTCAGTCTTTCTAGTGTTAAAAACGTGCTTGTCGTTCGTCCGATTAAAGTGAATTAAATTTATTTATTCACGTCGGACATTGAATGATACGAAACCGAATTTATCTAAATTTCAAACTACAAACTTTCGCAATCGTAGCATGAATTACAAAACCAGTTTGAGCATAATTTTGTTTCTACATGCAATTATATGTACTCCCCGGGACGTCTGGCAAACGGTACGAATGAACGGGGCCAACGGGTGAATTATAATTGACCAAGGTGCACTGCGGTTGCACTCTCGCCTAGAGAATTAATCATCAAGTTCGAGAGGTGTGATCGAGCACGTGGGAAACGGAAAATATTGCCAGCAGTTGTACAGTCGATTCGTCTTATTGTATATCTCGATTACCACGTGCGCGTTCAGGAATTCTTATCAAGCTATATAAAAAAAAAAATTTTATACAAAAATCGTACGTCCTGACGTCCTTTACGAAAAAAAGTCTATGCATTTTTCTTCTATCTTGAATACTTCAGGAATAATCGATTATTTCGAAATCGAGACTCGACCAAAGATTTAGCATTATTCAGGCTACGGTTTCGGTCTTTGGCAAAGAGACGATGGATCAAAAGGCCGGAGATGGAAACATCCTCCTCGGAACATTCGTAGCTACGAATCGCTAATATATGCAAATCGCAAGCAATTGGATTCGACGACCGCGAACAGTCGATCCACCACGATCGTACACGTCTGACTCGGTCGCATCACAACGAACTCGCCCGTGAATATTCAACAATTCATTCTTTTCAAGAGAATAATTGCTTCTCGTTTGATTGTAAAAATTGTTTTTCAAGTCGAAGGCGTCCTTACGAAATTTCCAAGAGTCTCTTTTATAATACAAATCGGCATCGTTTTGCTTGGAACGGAGCAGCGTCGGTCACGGAGATAGATAAATTTTGCACAGTCGGACAGACAAATGAATCGAAATTATTCTAGCGTAAAACGCATTTGTCTCTAGTCTAAGGCCGGTGTTAAAACTACGCCAACTGCGATCAGTCTCGAATCAAATTATCATTAATAAACGTTCTTAAATTATGTAACAGATTCTAGAATGGATTTCACGACACGTTCTGTTAACTCGACTCGACAATTAATTTTTCATCTAATACGTTTCAGCTTTATTGCTGTAAGCCTGAACCATTACCTCGCGCCATCCGTTTTCGTTTCCTTATTCTCAACGACACGATGAAACGTTCGGTTTAATGGGGGATGAATTTTTCATCGTTTCGCGTGTAACACTTTCTAAAAATAGTTAACGCAATAAGGAATTATGGAACCGGTGGGTGGTTACAAAATTTCTTGTCTGCTTTTCGCTTTTACGTTTCGCTTTCATTCATATGCAAATGTGATACCTACACGCCGGTTGAGTATAATACGAAATAAGCATGTTATTCTTCCACCCTGTTTCTCGTGCACTCGTTAACAAACTTTAAAGTTACTTTCCTTATAAATAAAAGTCAGCTCGTTAGCTCGAAACATTTTTCGAAATTCTGCAAAAATATGTATAATAGGCAATTATGCTGTTTTACAAGGTTCGATTTTTCAAGCAAGCTTCAATTTGTATCGATGTCGAAATTCACGAATCTAGCTTTGAAAACTGCTTGACGAAACGACGCGATACGATTTCGATTGGACCTCCAGCAGGCCGGTTCGAATCCGCTGAATATGGATGCGATTACACGCGTGTGCAACTGTACATAGACGGCACCAATGCATAGAACTACGAACGACAGGATTTTGTGTCAGCTAGATTTTTATTTAGACACCGTAGACTTTCAATTTGGAAAACAATCGTCG